ATCGATGAACGTTTTTTCGCGCGGAGTTAATCGAAGTTTTGCGCGAGAATGCAATTCGTATTTTTGTCAAACGAAGCGACGCGAGGATGGGATATTCCTTGTCGTGCACATCAGGGAAAAATTCAACCGCACATGTTACGTCGCACACGGTTTTAACGCCACGGTTTATGGTACGTCGGGCATTTGGAGCGATTTTTATTCGACCGGTAAGGCTCAAAAGTCGCGCTTCATGGCGACTCGCTAGAACGCGCGTTGAGCGAGAACGCAGATTACACGACGATAACACAGCTATAGAGATCCTATAATAAGAGTCTGTAGATGAAAGAATGGCAGACGTGAAAAGATTTCTCTTATAGTTATCTATTTCTTTTTATCTTTCTCCTACTTTCTTTCACTTTCCGAAAACGCATGAAGCTTTTCAAGTACCCTGGTAGAAATTTCATGCATTTTTTGAGCAGTTACTAAACAGTTACTAACTTCTATCTAGTAACTAAGATGGAAAGCTACTTAGGATTCCAATCAGGATGTAACGCTTTGCTTATAGTTCCCGCATACAAAAGCTGCGTAAATCTGAATCCAATTACTGAATAGACACAACAAATAATGGATATTAAATTGATTAATAAGCAAGCCAACTGCTCATGAAATGGACAGAATAAAACTTTATCAAATTCTTGTCCATTTTCTACTCAGTATTGGCACAACTAATGAGAATACAGTAATATTAGTAGATAGTAACTAGATAGGTGTCTAAGAAAACTGAAAACATTTCTACCAGGAATGTATATATACACAGAAAAATATTATTCTATTGCTAATACTAAAAAAAGCGATCTTGCGGTTATAGCGAAAATTGTCTAAGTACGAAAAATTAGCTAAAATAGATAAATTTCTAGCAAGTATTGGATATGCATTGCATCTAATCATACAGAGATCATCAATCAAAATCAGACAGAGATGGAATTTAGATTGGTGCTATAAATTCTGTGCGTTTGATACATACTTTTCTATCAGATACAAAAAATAGTGATAATTCTAACTGGAGCAACAATATATTTTTTTTTACATGAAGAAAAGTGATTAATTTTCTTTCTTCCTTTTAAGTAACGGTTATCTTCAACAAAAAATATTTTCTTAATAATAATTTTAAAATATACTGTGATTGCAATAAGTATTTTGCAGTATCGAATAAGTTATAAATGGAAGATTAACCCTTAAATGCCACTGGAGATCCAAAAGACTCCAAGGCTTTTTCAATCGTATATATTTTATGATCCCGCTGTAAATCGAACTTTTGGCTTAAAAATTAAAAATTTTTTTAAATTTGTTTATTTTTAAAAGAGTGTGCTTTTTAAATTTTAACTAATTTTTTTTTTTTGGTATATTTATACAGTAAAATTTCACCATAACTACAATTATATCTTCTTTTAGACGCTCTTTTAGGTGTATCCAAACAAATTTTCAAAGCAAAATATTGAAATCCAGGAATATTATACACTTTTTCACGCTATAAAGTCCAATTAACCCCGTGTGGTATGTGTGATTTTTTGGCGTGTGGCATTTAAGGGTTAATAAAAAGACTGATCTACTTTACCGAGATTCTTATTATAAAGTCTGTAGCGATTGTCATCTCGAGAAATTTGTAAAAGCGAGTGGACGAAAATCGTTCCTCGCAGTTCGTCACGCGTGACTTGATTAATCATTATCCCTTTTCCTCTCCCACGATCGTCACGTACGTGAATACACAGAGGCGAATCTCTAATCATCCTTGAAAAGAACGAGGTTGAGAGGCTGAGAGATCCTTGAGCAATGTTTCTTTCTATCTAGATCGTCCGAGTGTCTGAGTAAACAGCTCGAGATGGAACGCCTTTCAAATCAATCACAGATGGATCTCTCAGGTTTTTCCGCAGAAGCTGCTACATGCAGGGGACTGGTAAACGACGGTGGTCAAATAAATATAGATATAATCGAATGAAAGCCTGCAAGTCTTTTATTGCATCCGTTTGTATAACAAAACCCAACAACGACGACGACGAAGCTCTCCGATATCTCGATGAAAGTCGGAACGAAATGAGGAAAATTACAGCAAAGCGATGGCTGTCATCACTTCGATCACTGTCATCAGTTCGATCATTCGAGTACTTAAGTTTTGTTCCTTTGGTATCGAACGGCAATAAATTGGAACCAAAAAATGTAAGATCTTACAATAACAAATCGATTGATAAAAGAAAATTTAAATATCTTGAAAATTTCTTTTTATTTACGATTGTTCGATATCAAGGAACAAAGCTTAAGTACTCGAATGATCGAACTGATGACAGTGACGACAGCCATCGTTCCGCTATTAATTTTCCTATTTCCTTCGACTTTCGTTGAGCTTCTTCGTCGTCGTCGTCGTCGTCGTCGTCGTCGTCGTCATCATCATTGTCGTTGTCGTTGAGTTTTGTCATACAAGCTGGATCCACGACCTGTTCGTGAAACTCGGAGAGAATTCTTCCTCTGGAATCCACCTTTGGAGAGGGATGTTCGAGTGGTAATTGAGACGATGTCCGATGGGGGTTTGTTTTCAGAAAAAACCCGCCGTGTTACTTCCATTCTTCCCCATCCCGTTGACGTGTTCCGGTCTTAGTCTCCCCGCGAGGGGCTTTTCCCTTTTTTTTTTCCTCTTGCTGTCCTTTTGCGTTGGTCGTTCGATCGATGTCGTGCCCAAGGGATGATAAAAATAAAGAGGGCGAGCCAGGAATGGGAACGACAAAGAGAGAGAGAAATAGAGCGATGGAGGGGGAGAAAAACGTAAAAAGTACGTATTATCTTCAGCTAACCAACCGATTTTTTGCGACACGCGCGTCCGCGTGCGGTTATTACTTTTTATCGCATGAAACGTTTTATTGTCCATTATACTTGGCTATCGAGGATAGAAATGAGCACGTAGATAAATAAATAGATACTTCGAGGAACGGCAGGGTGGAGAAGAGGGTGCCGCGATGCCCACGGACATTTCCATCGTGAACGACGGAAATAAAAGCGACGAAGAGATCGTGGCCAGCGATGCTCTTGTATGCGACTCGAATTCCCGTCGCATCACCTATTGAATCTTGTTTATCATCGATTATCGCCGATATCCCTTGGGACGAGTCAATCATCGCCGCAACTATCGTCTTTCTGACTTATTCGTGCACTGAACTTGATCGTGTTGTTGAAAATGCAAAATGACTTAGCGCGAGCGAGTCTCTTAAAAGTGACAAATTGAAGAGAATCTTTTTCAATTTCTTACACCAGAGATGATTCGGACATGTCGCTGTTCGAAATAATATTTTCATAAATTTCTTTTGGAGTGAAATCTCACGCCAAAAGAGTGAAAATTCTGTCACTGTTGAAACACAGAGTGAAAATATTAGCACAATATGTTTCACTGAGAAAAATGGTCTGGTTGAATTAAATAAGTAATTCCGATTTATTAGAAATCCATTAAAGAGATTTATTAGAATTCTAGTTGAGATAACTGGAATTCTGTTCGATACAATTTTTCTGGTAAAATCTACTAGAATTCTTATTTTTACCAGAATAATTATATTAATCAAAGTTTCTAGTTATCTCAACTAAAATTCTAATAGATTTAATCAGAAAGTTCTGATTCGTCCATTTTCGAACCAGAAATGTTTTTCAGTGTTAATACGATTGGACTTGCTCTTCGCTCCTCACTGCATCTAAGTGTACAAACCAATCATATTAAAGGACTTTACAATAGTTGCAAAGCTGCTTTTTCTGCTGAACGCAGTCATTAATTTTTAACAGAGGTGATAAATTATCTTGGAGCATATCAAACAGCTATAAAAACATATCTTTATAAAGGGGATGACTGCTTCTATTCACATACTGAAGTGACGTATTGAGAAATTAAATTACTACATTTTTACGGTATAACTATAAAAGGAGATAATTACTGGACAGACGGAAAAGAAATGTTCCGCTGAAGTAAAAAGTCGTTCCAGACATCGTCACGATCTGTAACTCGAATCGTTCTTTAGGAGGAGAGTTGGCACGATCTTGTTTAACCTGATAAATCGCCCGTGGAGAATTCGTTCTCTTTTTAGCGTCTTCGTGGCGCGGCGTTAATTATACTACGCAAATAGTCAAAGGAAGGAAGTAGGTATCGGCGCGGTTTGCTCGGAACGGCGCGGCGGATGGGAGTAAATTAAGTTCATCCGGCGAAAACGCATCGTCTGTGAATCAGTCTCTACGGTTTACGTGCGTTTAATTAGAGAACGCGGAGAGGCATCAACGACCTTCGCGGAACGTCTTCGACGCCCGTTCACTCTTGTAATCATTCAACGCTCGGGGAAATTACGCACACGCGTAGACCGATCTGCGAACGAACGAGTGAGGATGAACCTGAGACCATTAAGAACTAGAAATCCTCTAATAACAGTCAGAGATAACTCCAATTTTCATTGGTGTCGCTATTTTTCAGCAGACTAATGTAGGTACAGACTGCACTGTGTTTAATCTATAGTCAATCAAATTCGAGTCGCTTAATGTGAGTCGCTTCTCCTACTCAATCATATCATTATTTTATACTAAAACAATAATTATATTTGATATTATACAGTGTCAATTTGAAACTATGTGGTATCAAATTGACACGATATAATCCCAAATTTAATTATCGTTTTAACAAAATAATAACGATATATCTAGTAGGAGTGGCGACTCACATTAGATTAAATTTAATACTATAGATTTAACGGTATGTGTATCACAGTCATAACACATTTTAGATACAATACATCTGTGTAGTCATTAGAGAGTTTCTAATAAGAATGAAAAAAAAGAATTAAACGCGCCCAAAAGAGATAAATGAAGCTTTATTGACTTCATCCCAAGCATTTCGTATCTCTCTCTATCTTTTGTATCGCGAAAATATTAGGGACCACAGGAACCAACATTATTCACAGTCTTGGAAGTTCCCGACCCGAGTGTTCGGGTGACGAAAGACTCACCCGACACGATTGCCAAGAGAAACGCTGCACTCACGACGGCAATCGCCACGCGGAGGAGCCTCATATTATATATCCCTTATCGCCCCCGCCTCGTCCGCTTCTATCCTCTTCCTCCTCGCGACCTGCACCTCCTCGTGTCGTGGCACCAAAGGTGAGCCTACGATCGCGGACGCATCGTAGTCGAGTCGATTCGCTCCGCGGCGGACCGGAGAAGGCACGGAGACGCGAGTGTACCCGCGCCGGCGAACGGAACTTCACGACTGTTTTGTGGTTGAGTATGCGACCGGTCGCTCGGAACGTGAAAGACTGAGGAAGGCTCGTGCTGGCCAAGTGATATTAGCCTCGTACTACGGCCCACTCGTGTGCACGGGGCCTCTCCCAGCCGTTCTCTTCACTCCGACGAGAGAGGAACTCGGTCTCTCTTTCCCTCCGCGGTGGAATCCTCCTCGAGGCGAGAGAACGATGCGAGTCGACCTTCTGCCTTCGCGCGACGCCGATCGCAGCAGAGATTTCATGCTCGCTAAGTCTACAGGAGAACACGCCGATGTTTTAAATAAATGTTGACCGATGTATCTATAACAGAATAGATATTCAGTTTTTTTCATTGTGTCAAATGAAATCTTGAGTCATTAAATCAGTTTTGTGAGGTTTTATACATTTACGATTATTGTTGATAATTGTTAAGTAGACTCTGTCTCTTGATGATCGAAAATATTTATTCATTCCCTGTAATTGATATCAGTACTGTTACCTCAGTAATTGAGGACATAATCTTGAGTCTAACAATTTTTTTTTTTAAGTTTACACGATTACTAAAATTTTATGATTATTGTTAAAAATTAATGGATTAATTACTAATTATAATTAGGTATGAGACTTAGTACAAGATTATTTTTCTGGATAAATAAATTAAATTAAATGAATATATAAAAGAAGTAAAGCTGGCTGTGTAAAATGGCTGCGAACTATAAAAAGTTAAGTGAATGTATGTATATAAGTAGTGTATGGTTGATTATAAGGATAGAAAATAGGAAGGATAAGCAAATAAGAATGAAAGATATGGATGAATGAATGAGTTAAGAAGAATAAACCAAGTCCTCCTCTTCTTGGCAAAATACGCTGAAGCGAATTCCATTCTATTCTATTTATTTCTCTGTAATTGGCGTACTATTATCTTAGTTATGAGATAATAGTACGACATCATTTACAGAAAATAAATAAATATCTTTGATCACCAGATAGTTTTGTATCTAATATCGATCTGCGAGAATTCTATCTTCGGGATTATTAAGTAAGGAATAATGCAAATGCGTGTAAAAGTCATCGATTAGCAGTGGTAAATTTTCGCGATTTACGAGGATCTCCCGAGAGAGGCGAGCTACGGTAGTGCACAATGTTGTACACTTTGTTAATCCCCGCCGATTTACTCCGCGCGAACGAAGCGGCGACCTGAGAGTTTGCTGAGGCAAACGCAAGACTTATCTCGTTACTTTGTATATTTTATAGCAAAAACCTGTGCCTCTTTCTAATTCAGTCCTTTATTTTGTTATACTTTATTTCATGTCTATTCACTTTCTCTTATAAAATTTCTCGACTGGACCTTTATTACATAAATTATACATCATATATTAACGGATCGTATGTGATATTCTTTCAGAAAATAAAATCGGCGTTTACATCCAACACGTATAAGCTAGAAAATGGTGATACCATCGAAGCGGCACTGTCCCAACATTTCGCGTATCTGCACGGAGTTCTTCAAAATATGGAAGCAAAGCTGATAAACCAGCTACATGAGCAGGGTAATCGCCTCAAGAACAATTTAGAAAACATCGAACTACAACTTCGATCGCAGGAAGAAAAATTGAAGTTTACAATGCAGGTACTTCTCTTAGAAATAAAGAATTATTATAGACGCTAGAAATTCGTCCGCCTTCTGCTTGAAATCGACGCGTTTACTTCGTTTTATTCTGATTGATTCTGTGAGTTTTATATTATATTGTCAAGGAATATTCTCTAGAATTATCTAAAAGTAGCGAATCTCACACGGCTAGATCATATCATTGAGCTGTTTTGTGTTTATTTCTCACACTCGAAAGTCAAGGCAAGTAATGTGCTGAATTATGATTGGACGGCGTGAAATCTCAAGGCAAAAACCATCGAAATTACTGAACAAGCTCGAGACAGATTCATTCCGACGGGCATGTGAGATGATTATTGTGTATGAGAGTAAAAATTAAAATTAAAATATTTTTATTGTTAAAATTTTTTTAAGACGTCATTAAAATAGTCTCTTAATTACCTGTATCTTACATTCCGACATATAACCTGCTTTTTATTCGTAATTTAATTTTAACTTTCCAAAATTAGAACAAACGAAAAATTTTTGCGGAGAAAAAAATATAATGGATAAATATAATTAAGCCTAATTAAAATAATTGATAGAAATCTGGCAAAAATAACACAACCTTTAATTATAAATTCAGATTCGTCACTCTAAATTTACTCTACATGAAAAAGACATTGTTTGAAACGGCAAGTTGAATTGAACCTGATACATTTGTCTGTAGATAGCCTCCTATGCGGAACAGACCTTCCATAAGGTTGACATACGAAACGCAATAAACATTCTAACGGAAATGGCAGATCTTCCTTGTCATTTGATGTACAAAGACTCGGGCCAGAACAACAAAGCGCAGTAAGTAATGAAAAGCGAATCAATTAGAAGAACCGTCTACTAAGACTTTTTTCGCTGACTCGCAGCATGTATAAAATTCCTTTTGCTACTGAGTGTCTCTTTATCAATATCGAAGTTCACATCCGAACCATTATTTCTACACACTGTTCATCGTATACGGTCACGTGAAGCGCGAACGATTATCCAAATGATATTAGAAAAATATCAAATATTACAATAGAGAGTCAAATAACAATTTAAAATCATCTGTAAATAAACGTCATTGTGATCAAGCTGTCATCTTTATGTAACTTTAATTTCAAATTAGTGGACGCTTAGTATAACAAGTTGTTTCTTTAATAGATTTACCATCGATGACTCAATCGTCGAAGCTATAGAAAATCACTGTACAATTACAGTGCCATCAGTGTCGTCCTACAATCTTGTGCGAAAAGACGAGCTGCCGACGAATTACATAATGTCGCCTTTATCGAAGAAACCACGTACAAGTGAGAATACTTAATTTTATTGTGATTTGAGTGACTTCTTCAAAAACAAGATACATCCTTTGAATTTTCAATTTTTGTTTCCATAATTTTTTTAGTATAAACTGTACAAGCTAATATTTTCAATAGATTTAATAGATTATTTTCATAAAAGGTTTTACTTAATTTGCATAATTACATAATTTGTGTGAAATAAAAAACGCAAGTAAACAGTATAGAATGATGTTGACAGAGATTTTTGACAGTCCACAAGCAAAGCTAGAACAGGCGATAATGCGACCGATGATACAATCGGAACTGCAAGAAAACCTTGATGACTCACTAATGTCGACGATGTCCATCGAGATAGAAGATAAAGAGGAAGAAAGTAAGTTACTCTTTTTAATTCTTATTTCTCAAGACTCAATCTAACCGGTACTCTTTCTTTTTCAAGGTATTTCCGAGTGCAAGGTGGAAGTGACGTACGTTGTTAATCCGTCGTTATTCTTTGTACGAAAAGTGGCCATGAAAGCAAAATTCCTACAGTTAGAGAAAGACCTAATGACATATGGAAACGATGAGGGGGACCTAAAGAAACCGATTAATATCAAGCAAAGTACGAGATTACACTCGTTATCGTTGATATTAGATTCCTATTCTTTTTAATTAAATTTCTTGCACCGTTCATTAGTTCTCTTTTTTTTTTTCCTTTAACATGGAAAGAAAAGAGGAAAGATAAATGCAACAAAAGATCTGTTTTTTGCAAATATACGTTTGTTTTCAACTTATTGCAACTAATTTAAAGGGCACGTATTCTGTACACGTCTACCGACAGTTATCAGGATCATTAAGTAGCGGCAGCCAATGAGAACTGCGTTTTTTTCTTAGGATTGTTTTTACCATTAATTATCGTTAGTTATCGACACCGACAGTTGTCGGTACATACAGAATCCCGGTCTAAGAATACAAAAACAGACCTAAATCAGCTGAAAGAAAGTCTTTTCATAATTTTTTATATTAACAGATGACATTTGCGTCGTCAAACAATGGAAAGTCAACGAGTGGTATCGTGGATGCGTGAACACAGTGATGATAAATAGCGACGGCGGGACATCGTACAACGTGGTTTACATAGATTACGGATACGAGGAATGCAACATAGCGGCTTCGAGAGTGCGAGAAATAGCTGAGCATTTGCAAACATTGCCACCACAAGCGATTCGATGCTGCTTAAATGGTTTAAAGCCTAAGAATGTTCATTGGACGAACGCGAGCACGAACGACTTCATGAAACTGACAAGTGGAGTGTAAGCCATTAGCGATCCTACGATTTTTACCCTGTGTGCATTAGGAAAGTGTCTCCATTAACCATTGAAAAATGTTCTACATTACAGCGATTGCATAATGTCTATTATCAAATCTACTCCTGATATTTTATACGTCGATCTTCGTGTTAACCCGAAAAATAGTAACATGGGTCCACAGTCAATGTGCAGTACTATGAAAATTATGGATTATGCGCGTTTGGACACTCGGAAAAATCCGGTAAGCAGATTTGAAAACGCATATGTCCATACCAGTACAATATGCTACAATGCTAGAATTATAAATATTTCCTTGTAATGCCCTGTATGTCCAATTGTATGCCAATACTTGGATTCTTAGACCCGACTACATAATATATGGTTACCTAAAGATTAAAGGTAATCAAAAAATTCATGAATAAATTTCATTGATGAATCTGTTGGTAAACATAATATCTTTAGGTAACTATATATTGTGAAAACGGATCTTAATCAATTTTTCTTTTAAAATTGTATTAGAAAGTTAAATAATTTTGTTCCATTGAACCCACAGACATCTATATTAATACTAGATGACTAACTTTCAACTAAAACGCTGTAAACGGCCGGATATCCGGTTGAACGGCTATTGAAATAGTCAATGGCCGCTCCAATCATTTTGCGCACATACATACACACATATATTGTTACTGCCATTAAATCAACATTAAAGTTAATGATCTAGTACTAGTATAGATATCTGTGATTGATCCATTATATATTTTCTTATTTTGTTGCACGTAATGCTTGCATTTTTTTTGCAGAAGAATA